AGGACTTTTTGGCACTTTTATCTAATAGCTGATTTAATCAGCTATTAAATAAATGCAACATAAAAGCCCCGCTGAAGCGGGCATGCAAGCTATACAGACATTGGACAAGCCAGGTCCAACTAACGCAACGCCTATGGGCATGCACTGGGCTCAGCATGGGGGGGGTGCATGAAGTTTAAAATAAAGCACCATTGGGGGGGGGAGGATTGCCTGTAAGCAGATGGGAAATCCACCTTTAGCACCATATGCATTAACTGCATTTAGCCTTGTAAATTCCTAACAAATTGTCTGGAAAATAAATTCCATCCTCTGAAAATGAACAAAGAATAAAAGTCAGATTTATGATTCGGCCATCTGGAAACATTTCTAAAATGTACCAGCTCCACAGCAAACTAAATCCTCTATTCTAGCATTTCAGGCGGGGTCAGGGTTCCAAAATAACTTACAAAAATATTAAGGTCAGTTCCAAAGCCTGATCTCGGAGCCTATGAGAAATTCTTCAGAGTCCAGCAGCATTTTCCCACGCTAAGTATCAATTTTTACCTATCCTGACTGTGAAACCTCAGAGAAGGCCATATGTATAGTCTCCTGCCTTAATTACTGCAATCTTTTCCTCTCAGAGAATAACTTCAAAGAGGAGGGAAGATAATCAACAAATAATGATAATTAAAAGAGAAGAGAACAAACAAACAAGATGTGAGTATGTTTCTTAGTCACCCTGTTTTTCCTCCCCACCCCCTTCTTGTTTGCATTTGCCTATTTCTGACTTGCTTTTGCATAGTGTCATGTTAAACTAGGACTGGATAATTCTCTAGGTAAGGACTATCTTTTGTGTGAATTTTCTTGAATATTTTTGAGGAGATGAGAAATAAGTATTAAGTATTCATCTACAAATACTGAAGATAAGCATGGTGATATGTATAGCTCATTTAATTTTGGGGGGATTTTTTTTTTAAATATGTTCCTTCAAACAAGTTAAGACTCTCTGAAATACAAAATACATCTTATGTTTCAAATACTTATTTTTAAGAAGCATCTTATATGACTAACCTCAAAATTTGCCTCCAAATCAGAAGTCAGACAGCTGAAAATTAATTTACAAATCTCAGAACCTCCTTTCTGTTTAGAGGTGTTTGAATTAGGCACTATATACAGCCACCATTACAATATTTACATGTAGTACCCATAACAAACATAATGTTATGCTCAGTAAATGAAGGTTTGTAACCTATAATTGGAGTTGTTCAAGATGATCTACCCATTTACACTCTTGAGTTCTTTGAACTGGTCCAAGCTGCATATTGGCACATTCCAACAGCAAGCCCAAGATAGGGAATGTAGAAAGGCTGTTTCTGAAGAAACACCTAATTTTTAAAAAAGATATTGGGCCAGATCCTTAGCTGGATCCATGGCTCCACGGAAGTCACTTTGTAGAAAATTGCTTTCAGCTGAATCCAAAAGCTGTTATACCAAATATAAAAACCTCCTGAAAAATACTGACTTTTTAATAAAAAATGTTAACATAATTTTAACTGTAATGGTATCAACAGTGCAAGCATAACTGAATTCAATTAAAATAATTGTAACAATGGCAGTAGGGCTTTCAGCATTGTGCCATGACTGAAAAAACCCTGTGTGTTCAGTTCACTGACTTTAAAAGGATGACTTGCTTTCATGCTCTTATTTTAGCCTGAGGAGAGTGTAAATGTCAGTGAACTAAGTTAGTAGCTCCTTGTAATGTAAAAGCCTCCTGTAATATTTCAGTCATTTAATATTTATGGAAACTACTGAAATAAATGAATAAGTAAGAATAATAAATGACATGCAGAAAAACAGCAATCCACATTCTACTAATCTTTTTTTTTTCCTAGTGCAGATCCTGGCACAGCGCTCTGCCAATTCAAAGGCTTTCGTGAACTCTACAAGGTACGTTAACTCCTATAACAGGGCAGAACTTGACTGAAAATCAGCCATCATGTCTTGTAAAATGGTCAGTGCTGGCTGGAAAACACACAAGACTGCTTCCTAGGATTCTGGATTATATAATAAAGTAAAGCTCAGCCCTACCCTCTACACCACCGCTGTGCCAGAGCCCGGCACTGCTCAGACTCAGTGGCCCCAGCTCCCAGACAGCACGCAGAGCACTGCCGAGCCACGCTGCACCTGCGCCGTGGGGCACCTGTCTGCAGGTGCTAGGTGGGGAGGGGGAGGTGCTCCCTGCTGCCCTGTGCTGTGCAGGGGGGCTCTGCCACGATCCCTCTGAGGCCCTGATCGCCACTGCTACAGCTGGTGAGTGGGGGCTTGTTTGTTTGTTTTTAAGTGCTGGGAGGCTGGGGCTGGGCAGGGCAGTCATGGGGGCTTCTCCCATAGTTCCTCTGGCTGTGCCTGCCTCTGCCCCAGCGTGGGGAGCTGCAGGAGAAGCCCTGATGGTCCCATCCCCTGCCTGGCCTCAGTCTCCTAGCACTTTAAAAGGAGGCCTTCAGGGCTGTGCCAGATTCTTCCCAGGGGCACCTCTGAAACATTTCTGAAATGTTTTGGATGGTTTCATTTTGTTTCGGAGATGTTTCGGAGCCTTCCATTCCCAATTCAGTGTTTCAGGTGCCGAAACGCATCTGGAACTAAACGGCTGTCAAAATGTTGCACAGCCCTAATAGGCAGTATGTTCATTCACAGATTTAAAAGAAAACAAACAAAAAACTGCATAGACTGTAAATCTTGAAAACATCCTGAAACCCTAAGACAAACTCCTTAATCACTGATAGCATTCAAGAGAGAAATAGCTGGGTTAGGATTAGTGAAGCCTGACTACATGTTAACTACACACATCATTCCTGTCTGCTCCAGAAACGCATCTCCTTTTACAGAAAAATCAAAACTCAGTAGCAGAACTAAAATCCTTTGAGCTTTGTGCTCAGTTGTAGAATATTACATTGATTTACTGTGGCAGCTGGATCATGTAATGGAATGAAAGTGTGATATGGACAGCTGTAAATCGGGATTAGAATTCAACATTGTTACTAAACCATCAAAATAGCTCAAAATAATTTGTTACTACCATATTACATTGTTGTTGGATTTGTTTATCAGCATGCTGGCTGTGATCCTGCAAACAGTAAAGGTAAGTATATGCATATTTTGCAAGTTTGAGGCCATCATGCTTTTTCCAAGAGCCTGGGCACATCTCAGTGAGGACATGGTTTTCCATGAGATACTCTTGTACATGGGTCTTCTGTGCATAGTCAGAATGGCAACCAGAGGAAATGCAAATCTCTAAGTGACCCTTCCCTCTCCCATACAAATGCTGAAGGATAGCTACACAACATTTAACAAGTTGCATCTCCAAGCTGCATTTGCTGCTTTGCTGCTCCTTCTTCCCAATATGGAATCTCACTTCTTAAGCAGCATCAGGGATAACAGGAGGTGGAAATTCAGTTCCAACACTTTCTGAAATAAAAGAAAATGCTAGAGATCCCAGAGCGTGAAGAAGCAGTCAGGCCTCCTACAGAGCTAAGAAGTTGAGCAATCAGTTGAGATTGTCACCTGTGGAAAGGCTAACATTATAGTTATTTTTTCCTTAGGCAGCTCAGAGGATCTGTAGTGGAGGAAAACAGAGGATTGGGTTGGTCTTGTGGGGTGGGGTGAAAGGGGAGGGGGAGGTGTATAAAACTGCTTTCCTTCAGGAACTTGGAGAACAGAGTATTGCTCTAGGGCAGTGGTTCCCAACCTTTTTTATACTGCGGACCAGCAAACTCACTCAAATAATTTTGGCAGACCGGGTATAGAAATGATATAATTTACTTATTTAAATTTAATTTTTATGTTGGGGAGGAGGGTTGTGAGGATCGGAGGCAGTGTATGACACAAAACAAACTCAATAGGCAGAGGCACGGTGCAAAACAGAGTGCTTTTTGCAGAAGCACTTTTTCCAAAAAAACAATGCACTGAAGTTTGCTTGACCATCTCTTAGCTGTTGTATATGATATGGAAGTGACTAGTCACAGGTACTATGGTCCAATTTCAAAAGATAAAGACACAGTCATTGGCCAAGTGAAGACATTCTCGCCCAGCCAATCAGCATGGCATGGGCATGGCCTGGGCACAGAATTGATGCTAGTAGTGGTTAAAGTTTGCGCCATGACCTGGAAGCCAACCCTTTGCGGCCTGCCACAAGGCCATTACCCAGCTTTTGGGAAACCTCTGTTCTAGGGTCCTTCAAGGTATGAAGTACGTTATTCATCTTGGCAATGAACAACCCTCCTCCCTTGAAAGGAAGATTTGCCACTGAATTCTGCATTTCATAGGGAAACCCTGATCCTTGCCCTTGGTGGAAATAAAATCTATATGACCATCATCGTTGCTAGCAAACAGGAAGATGTGTTGGCTGTGCCTGGGGTTGTCCATCAATTCATCTTCGGAGCATCTAGCCTCCACAAGCTACGAAGGCAAACTCCTCTCTGGCATTAAGTGGCAGCTTTTCCACAAAGGCAGCAAACCTCTCTCTAAACTAGAAATCATCTCTCAACAGCACAGCCTGATAATCAGACCCTCTGAACTATAGGCTGCCAGAGGAGAATGCATTAAAATATAATAAATCCAGTCTTTCTGAATGCTTTACTTGGGACTAGTTTGTTCTGGTGGGATTTTTGATGGACACTATCTACCTTAGAGCCTAAATTACATGCCTTCTGGTCATAGTCCTGGGAACTGGCAAAGTTGCTTTGAAAGATTCATCTATAATTATCTCCTTTTGTTAATTCTTTCCAGCCACCCCAAAGTGATGGGGCCCATTAAGTTTTGAAATATTAATCTGTATTAATAGTTTTATTTCCCTCTTTTGCTGTATAAAAATAAAGGAAATTAGGCAAAATATACCTAAAAGAAATTACCAAAAGTATAAGATGATCCCGTTCCTGAGCTGTATTTTCTGCCAGACTGATAAGGTTTGCTAGGTATTGGTGGGCTGCCACTTCCTTTTCCATAGTTTCTTCTAACTGCTCTTTCAGAAGTCTTATTTTCTTCTGTGATCGCCTACAAAATTAGCAGAAAGTTAAAAGAGGAAAATGTTAGTTTCAGAACTGCTATCGTAGAAAAACCTCAAAAATGTGTATGTTTTATGCACATCAGCTTTCAATCTGTATTGAAAGATTTGGATAATACTCTAAATTATAGGTTGATAATCTGCTTTTGAACCCTACACAAACACATTATTTTTGCAGTTGATAAGGAAATTAAGCCATTTTATTTTTCCTCTATTTTTTTTCGATTTGTTTAAAACTCAGGTCTTTTATAGGTAGTCTGGAAGTTATACCATATTTCAATGGAAAGACAACTTCCAGGAAGTAAAAGCAGTACAATTTTGAGTGTATGCTGTTGGCTAGTAGAGGTTATGAGATCATTATTTTCTCAGAAAATATTTCTGTTACTTTATTTTTAGAAATATTAGTGTTTTGGGGAAGCAGATGTCCAAATTTGGTGAAGAAATAAACAGAAGAACCTGTTTGTCTTCTGTGCTGTTTCCAGCTCAGCTCCAAGGATTTTGTTGTCAGCCACCAACTCATTTTTCTCTAAAAGCAAGCTCTTATTGCGTGCTTGCAGTGTTACTAGCTTTTCCATTAGATCCTTCAGCTGAGCACTTCGGTTTTCCTCTTCCTGTTGTAACTGACTGCAGAAAAATGACAAGGAACAGGTATCAAATATCTAATTGAACAAAAACAGATGAGTTATGGTAAAATACTTGTGTTAGAATATAGAGAGAGAGATATCAAACCTTTACTACTAATGATCAAAAAAGCATAAATATATAATTCTTCTGGTATTAAAACAGGCATGCGTCTGACCCGTCTTCTAAAAGAATTTACATCTACATACTCCTTATGATCTAAATGTATACTCTTCTTGGGTAACTTTTAAAACACAAACTGCAAGAATCGCTAGCTGTGGTAAAAGGATGTCTACAAGATTGTTCAGGAGCATACAAAGCCAAGAGATGAATACCTTTCCACTGTTCTTAAACACAAATAATTTAGTTGAATGTTTTAATACACTACATTCTGGACAACTTCTGGGAAAAAACCTCATAAATATGGTCTTTAATATTCAAATAAATTAAGCTATAAATTATTACAAGCCTTCAGGCAAAGAACAGCAAAATAATTTTGGTTCATTAAAATAGCTTACACATCCACTTTTATGATAAATTGAGATGCATAAATTCAAAACACTAGTGGTTGGTTAGAAATAACTAGTTGTAATTCTCTATACTGTCCTGTACTGCAAGTTTAACTACATTTCATTGTTATTATTAAGAGTCACAGTTTAGGAATTGTACAAAGCAAAAATATTGCTGCATCAGAGTAAAACTGAGACCATTACTCAAACTTGTTTGATTGGACTGGATTCGTCAAAGCAATGGGCTCCTAAGTCCTTTTCAACTCATCTACATATTTCCTTTGGCTTTATTCCTTTGGAAGAGGAAAACGGAAATAAGAGGATTTCTTATTTGTTGTGTATTTGGTGACTTGCTAGGGGCAGGTGAGGGGGTGAGATCTGATTAGCAGGCTTATAGACTGACACTTTTCTATTGGTATACATACCTTTTTAACTCATTCACCAAAGCAGAATGCTTCTCTGCTGTCACTCTGCCATTCAGCTTGTCTTTCAGCTCTTTACATGTAGCATGTAAAGCCTCTAGCTTCTTTTGGTACTCTAATATCTTCTCTTCCTGGCTCTGTTTCTTAGCTTCCAACATCATTATTTGTTTGGTCAATTTAGAAACTTTGGGGGATAGAAAAATCCAATACAACAGCACTTAATATTTCAATGAAACCACTTGCACATTATTTGTAGTTGTTATTAAGCTTTGTGGAAATGTTCCTTGTCATATTAAATACTATTTTTTTTGCAGTATATATTACTGCTCCATCTATCTGGCAAATTATTATGGACAGATTAAGGAAAAAATTCTTTTACTTTAAGCCTTATGCATCAACTTCTGCCTTTGCCAAAATCAGACCTAAACAGACATACCTGAAATTTACAAGTATGTTCTCATACCAGGGTAGTATTTTTCCCAAAAGGTTTGAGACATGTTGAAGGAGCTGTTTAGAAGATATGAGTATTCTAGAAAAATACTTGTTGGTTTTTGGTGATTTTCTTGAAGGTTTTTGATTCATCCCAACCCCAGGACAGGTTGGATGAGAAACTCCTACTTAATTTTAAACTGTTGGATTTAGGAGGACTTATTTAGATTTGATTTTGGGAAGCTTAAAGATTTATTTAGGGAACACCCATTTCAATCTGAATTTAGTTTAAAACCCCTGTCATGTACACAAAGCTGAACCCAGAACCATGGGTGGATTTAGGATTTTGAAGGGAGGGGTGCAGATAATGTGGTGCACCATCACATGTAACAACATACTTTTCTCTAGGTAAAGAGAAACTAGATTTACAGATATAGTAAGTGTTTAAACGCTATATTACTCAGTTTAAAATCAAAGCAAAAACAAATACAGCTTTATTGGAATGTTCAATGATTTGTTAGATTAAGCTTTAAAACAACAAACTGGGCAAAAAGAGTCACATATATTGTTTTATTGCTCCTGTGTAGTCATGATGGTTAAATGCTCTGGCTCAGGCTGGGGACTCTCCCAGGCACGGAGCACACAGAAGCTCCTTCCGTAGCCTGGTCGATCAGCAGCACCAACACTCCTGCATGGCCGGGCAAGAGCTGAGCTTCTACATGCTGTGCTCTGGGCACCAGGATGGAGCAGCCAGAGCAGCATCTGACAGTAAGGGGAGGGAACAAACTAAAGGAGGACTGGCAAGCAAGTTGTGATGTATTATATCATTTAATAGTTCTGATTACTGTTTCTAGTAGAAAAAGTACTTTCTGATGAACGCTTTTGGTTCTGATAGTATATTCTCAGAAAGGAAAATAACCTCTACAGTTTCATGTATAATGGTTTTATTTGGACCTAGCAGTACATATGCAATTAAAATTGTAGTATTCTCTCTGCCACAGTCAAAGTAAGTAGCAATCAAAGCCTCTTACCTTCTTGGATATGTTGGTTGTGATTGTCTTTTGCTTTAGCTTGTTGAATTTCCAGCTGTTTCATCAACACTCCATTTTCTTCCAAGACCAGCTTGGCTTGAGTTTGTAGCTGTTGCCTGTGATAAGTAATTTAGAAGTAAGTACCTCTCAAATACTAAGTTAAATAGTCAAAGAAACAACACAAATAATCTCTGTCTAAACTTATTTTTTTTAAATTAGGTTTCCATTCAGGAAACTCATTGAGGACAATGTCTGAACCCACTATGCAATTAAGATAGAGTATACTCTTAACTTTCTGGGAAAATACCTCTTTAAAAATAGTTTTTAAAACTTGGAAGGATGAAAACAAATCTGAATTTTCTGAGACTGTACAAAGACACCCTGTAAAAAGAGAAAAATGCAATCAGATATATAGATATATAGATATAGAGATATATCTATATATCTCTATATATAGATATATATATCTCTGAAAAGTATATCTAGCTAATATGCCAGGGGTTAAGAGAAATGAAAGCTACTTGCCTAATAACTGGATGCCATGACAGAGTCCAAAAGACTTGTGAAGTCATCAGCTCACGTTGATTTATAAATCTTGAAACAGTTGCATAGATTTATGGGACTGTGAGAAGACCACCTTTTAAACTTATGTAGCCTTAGCTCAGAACTGACCCTTAGCTCTGTGCTGGACATCAATACTGCCTTTAGGGAAGCCAGCACAAGTCTTTTTGCTCTTAAGGAAGGTTTAATGAAGTATTTGGGCTCTGATATGATACCTTAAAAGTAGAGGAATATTGCCCAGGATACAAACAGAGAAATAAGAAATATGGATGTTTTAAAGAAAATCAGATGCATTTCACTGGGATGGTATTAGGTGAACTATTAATTAAAGCTTTGTTAAAGTACAACAGGCTCCATTAGCTAAAGTAAACTTTATCCTACTGTATAACAGAGGACTGAACTTTTATCAAGGACTTCCGGTGACAATATTAACACTACAAAAAGGTTTGTTCATGTGATCAGAACAAGATAAAATTATATCCTGATTGTATGTATAGTGTGAGAACATTGTCCTTGTTTTGATTTGTGAGTACATTGGACAAAATGACTATTTATCATATAAATGTATTATGAGTTTTTGTGAACTTATTCCATGTTGCTGATTACCCAAATATATCATGATGGTCAGTTGTAGTTGCCCTTGAATAATGAAACTGAAGGATGGCTATGATCATAGATGCCTGTATGATTACTACTGTTTCTGCTGGAAAATTGGATCCCTAAGCTGGATTCAGATATGCAGTGACACAAACTGCACAAGTTGCACATTAATCAGTGTACAGTGCTGCTACTTCACAGTGCCAGGGCAAAATTTGCTACCAGGATTTTCTGGTAGCAAAAAAAATCTTGGGGGGAAAAAAGCAGAACAACCCACACCGAAGTAGCGAGTACCGGGACAATTAAGAGATAGGGGAGCAGGCAGCCTGCGGCCTGGTCTCCTACCTCCACGCACTACAAAGCCCCCGAGCAGGCAGCCTTGGACTGGCTGCTCCCCTGTCTCTGCATACCCCAATGTGTGGGGGCTTCACTGCAGAGCCACTGCATTGAGGCATGTGTAGCCTCCAGACTGAGGCACACTGCGCCCCAGCCAGTCACAGAGCTGTAATTACAGCGCATTGGAGCAGCCTCACTGGTCATGTATAGGTGCCAAAATGTATTAACAATTTCTGCCCTACAATAGGAGTCTGAAGAACAGAAAACTAATAGAAAAATAAGTGAATTTTAAAGCTGTACTCAGTACTGAGACACAATGACAATATCTTGAGAGAGATTCTAATTTATTGCAAAATAATATTTTAATTCTTAAAACATAAAATAGTATTTTATTTTCCAAAATAACAGAAAAAATTAATGAAGATCAGACCCTTATACGATAATGCCATAGTATACTATATTTTCCACATAAGATATGCTTCTTACTTGTCTAACTTTATAAGACAGTGTCCTTGGAAAATATTTTTCTTTACTACATGGGTCCTAAAACATTTTCCAACTGCTGCCCTTGTTCCACATAAAATCTAAACATCAGCATTTATAAAAGGTTAAGTCACAGTGAAACAATACCTATGATTTAAGAGATTAAAAGAAACAAGGTCAATTCTAATAAAATTGATTAGCTTTAGAATTGACTTAAAACCAAGTAAAATAGGTGAATTAAAATAATTAGTCTATGAATCAATTTATTACAAACTTAAGAGGTTTTATAGAGCAAAATGGTTAGTCCACTTTATTAAATCAGTGAACCATTTGAATACAAATGTCACTTCAAAACCGATCAAAATGACTGAAAATCATTCTGTTCTACAGTCCAAGGAAAGATCACAGAGAATGTAGTTAGGTAGACCTTAACTAATCTTAATTAATAGAAAAAAATATCTCATTAAAACTTTCCTACTACAGTAAAAGCCGCATTATCCAGCACCTTACAAACCAGCATGCTCTACTAACTGGCATGCCAGTCAACACAGCCAAAGTGAAACCAGAAGTGCCCACCGTGGCACTTCCGGTTCTACCGAGCCCCCATGGCCTGGGGCATAGCAGCCTTTCCCCAGTGTGCCCAGGGCCCCATCCCTGTCCCCTGACACACTGATGCGGTAGGAGGGGTGGCAGCGCACCAGATGCAGTGGGAGGGGTGCCTGTTCAGGCCTCTCAGGTAACCGACATATTTGGTTATCCGGCACTCCCCATTCTCCGTGGGTGCTGGATAACAAAGCTGTTGCTGTAGCAGAGTATTTGACATTACAGGCCACCTTCCAGAAATCAATTTTAAAATTTCCAATATAGTTTATTTGGATCTACTGACTTGTGTAGAAACCTACTTGCGTGCATAACTGCAAAACTGAATTCAGGAAGTATGGTAAAACTATAAAATGTGGGAAAAAATTTTCAAAAGCGTCTTACTAATTTAGGAGCCTAAATCCCAATTTCAAAAATGTCTTGGGAAATTACAAATGCATTTACAATATATTTAAACACATAAGGATGCATAAAGACATGTAGCAGAATTTTAAAGAAAATTCCTGTAAGCACTTAAGTCATTAAGAGCCTTGTTGCATAGTAATTTGGAGTGGTTCCTGAAGCCTTAACACCTGGATTGCCTGAACATTAACACCTAAAACTAGTTGTAAGCACTCATTAGGCAGCACAAAGTTACATCACTCCAGGACAGGATTATCTCTGATCCATGTTATCTAGCTCGTGTTACGCTAAGGTGCACGCCACTCTAGGGCCTAGGCTACACTTTACTGTAAACACCCTATCTGCCCCCTCTGCCCTCCCCAGCACCCCAGATGTACACTCACTGCCTCCCTTACTCTCCTGCTTACTTGTAACTGCCTGCACTATCTGTCCCAGGAGAGCAGGCAGGGAGGGGTTAACTTGCCTGCCCAGCTGCCACTGCTGGTCTTTGGAAGGGCTCAGCCTGGAGAAGAGCAGCAGTAGCCTGCCAGTGATGGAAGAGATTCGGCAGCAGGTTAACCGTTCCCTGCCTGCTTTCCTAGGATAGACAGTGCAAGCAGCCACAAGTAAGCAGAAGAGGCAGGGAGGAGCCCCAGGGGTGGCAGGAAGGGGCAGGGGGGAAGCCCAGAATGGAAGTCAGGGCGGGGGAAGGGGGAGGATTCTTACCTTTGTCATCCAGGCCCCTGCTGGCCTGAAGTGTGACTGCTCCAACTCAAGATAACCCATAAACATTTATGCAGCTCACAGTGTAAGGTGGAATAACCAGGCCCTAATGCACCCAGCTTTCTGGAATTTACATCTGGCCCTAAGGAGTCTAAGTCTCATTGAAAGTCTTTGGACCCTAGTATTCTATCAGCTATTTAAGAGTATAGACTAGATTTAAGAGTATAGACTAGAAAGGACTTCCTGGGCCACTGAATCCAAGGCTGTCCCAGGCACCATATCATACCATCACTTTTATAATGTTAGCAAATTCTGCCTGAAAAGCAGTTAAGATATTTTGCTCTGCTCCTTCAGCTGGAAGGCTGTTCCAGAAATGGATTTCTTTAGTCATTTTTTTTTCTCATTCTGGTATAGAGCTACACCGATATATCGGTTGCCTATCGGATCAGCACCAATCTGGGAAAAGACAATTTCCCTTCTACACTTACACTTAATATAAAAGGGAAATTTACATTATTGGCTATCAGCTTTTTTGGCCATTGTAGCCGATAATGTTCTCTGATAATTATGCCTTCTGGCTGGGGCCCCTGGATGCAAGGGTTCTCTCCCACGAGTCAGGGTAACCCCAAATACACCCCCATCCCCTCATAGGCAGGCTGGGCTGGGCTGGAGCTGGAGCAGCTGCTGTGGTGTTCCAGGTGCTGGCACAGTAATGACTGTGGGCTGGGGCTAGCGTGGGCGCTGTAAAAGGCATCGAATTCCACAAACGTGACTGGGGCAGGCAGAGCAAGCTGCCTGGCCCAGCCCAGTGTGACTCAACCCAGTTATCTGATTGGTATCGGCCGATATGACTGGTTAATAACTGGCTACTGCTATTGGCCAAGAAAATCTTAATTGAAGCACCCCTAGTCTGGTATCTTCACTCCTATTCCCGGTATACCAATAGAGAGCAACCTCTCACCCCATTCTGCTAGACTGAATAAGCCAATGTCTTCTAGTCTCCTTTCATAAAATAGGCTTTCCATTTCCTTGCCCCATCCTAGCAGACCTTCACTACAACTGGTTCAGTGTCAATGTTTCTTGACCGTGGGAAACCAGAACTGAATGCACTATTTGAGATGAGGTCTCAGTAGAACTTTGTATAATGGCACCAAATAAATCTCAATTTGTACTGAAAGAACCTTTGCTGATGTTTTCCTAGAATTGCATACATCCTTTTTCATAACCAGAGAGCACTGGTAGCTCATTTTAACTGCACATTGTAGTCTGCTTCTTCCTTATTTTACACTTCTTTATAGAGCTGAAGAACCATTTTTTTCAATATGAGATGAAATCCTGGTCCTTGAAGTCTTTGGCAAAATGTCATTGTCTTATGTGTGGGCATATTCAGTCTTAAAAGTCAGAAAAACATAGCAAGTAGGGTACTTTTTCACTAATAACATAATGAAATATACTTGCCATTCCTTGGAGGTAGTAGCACTATTTTTATTTAACTGCTGGTACAATTGCTTATTTTCTTTCACCAGTTCTTCTACTCGTACCCTAAAATTCTTCATCTCCTTCTGAAATGCAAATGAATCCACACAAAAAAATGCATATATTTTGCTTAATTTTCACTTTATCACAAAAATTTTCACTGATACACATCATGAGTACACTTATGTCACCTATAGAAGAGCAGCATGTTGGCTTACTTATTATCCATCTTTTAATTCAGCTTCTTAGTATACATGTTGCTTAAGGAAGCATATGCACATTTAGCTACCAAATTGCTTTACTAATTTAAATAAAATTTGGTAAAATATATACTCTTTTGTATGTCAGATTTTGGCCTGAGATAATTTGAAATATCCAAGTTCTGGAAAATGGATGATACTGGACTTATAATCAAGTAAATATGGTGCTTAAGAGGAAGTTTTTCCCCCATTCATCATTGGGAAAACAAAGCTTCATCTTAGAATCAAGTATCACAACTGTGAGAAATGACAGTGCAGGAAGCCCAGCTCAGGCAGCGACAGCAGCAGCAGCAGCACCAGGTCTGCTCCTTAACCAGATTTCTCCCCTTCCCCCACCCCTACTCTTCTTCCCCCCTCCCCTCCCTTGTTGGGAGGAAGCCAAGGCAGGGGAGGAGGAGTCTGCATGTGGCTGCTGCTTTGGTCTCCAGTCTGCCCCATGTGGCAGGAAGTAGCTATGCAGGGAGCTGTGCCCTACTCCAAACTCTGCTACCTTTCCCCACTTCCCTTTTCATGGGGAGAAAAAAGAAGGGGGTGAGGCATAGGGAGGATGGCAGGGAAGACATCTGTACGATGCTAAACCAGGTTCCCAGCATAGCTGCTTCCTGCAACATGGGGCAGGAGTGGCTCTGGATCAGAAGAGAAAGCAACAGGAAGAGGAGGTAAACTATGGTGTAGTAGTCAGCTGGAGGGTATGGGATGAGGGGCAGGATGCCTGCTTCTCTGCCCCTGTTTTCCTCCTACGTCAGCTTTCCCCTTCCCTGCCCCTGCCTCCTATTCCTCGCCCATTCTTTCCTCACTGCCTCTGCTTCCCCTGTATCTGCCCCCTTGCTTTTCCTTTTCCCATTGCCTACCCTCCTGAAGTAGTGAGGGACAAATTTAAGAAACTCGCTCAAAAATTAGATTCTAGACATGGAAAATTAAACAAATTTATAATTTTCCATGTCTAGAATCTAATTACTTAGGTGTCATCTTAGAATCAAGTAAATACAGTAATGTTACTAATAACTATTAGTATACTTGATTATTGAAAAAAAGTGGGTGAACATACAGTAGTAACAGAGCCTTGGATGTATCCTGTTCTCTTTCAACTTAATACTTGTGAGGATGGATGCTCAGTATGAAAGATGAAGAGTTCTGCTCAAAGACTGTATTGTATTTTCTCACATAAAACAGGTATCACCTGGGGTGAACATTATATGCAAGAAATACTGATCCCCACAGATCTGGAAACTGGCAGCAGGGTAGCAATCATTGTATTAACTGCTGTGGCTTTAGGAGCCGTGGCACTTAATACTGCCAAATTTCCAGACCTGTGGCCAGATTTGTGGCCAAACCCCTGGCCCGATAACACGACACTGGACACTGCCTTGAACCTAGAATACAGCCTTAGACTCAGTATGTGGGGTCCAGCTGTGGCTGGACACAGAATGTAGCCCCAGACTCAGCACACAGCCCTGACACAGGTGTAGAGTTTGACCCATCATGTGGCCCTAGACCTGGTGTGCCATATCAGGCTGGTGTGTGGGGCTGGGTCATGGCCAGACCTGAAACAAGGCCCCAGATCCATAATGTGAAGTCAGCCCAGCACACAGACCCAGACCTGATGCGCTGGATTAGTTATTCATGTGTCCCGGAAGGTAAGAATTTTTTTTCTTCAACACATCTGTTAGAACCAGAGTGCATATTATATGCAGAGGCATGCTATATGCAAGAAAATATTGATAGCTCTAGGAAGTCCCTGCAATCTATGTGCACTTCTATAGGTAGGTTCTGTGATGGCTTTAAACAAACCAGTCACTTTTCCACAGATACAGTGACCAGGAATTCCTACAGACAGCAGAAAGAGTAAGTGGTCCAGAGATTTACAAGGCAGCTGGGCACCCAGGGCAGCTACTTTTCCACACCTCCCACCCAAGTCACTGTCTGGGACTGTTGCTCTTGTTGCAGTGCCCTAGTTAACTTTACTGGAGTGGTAACTATTTAAGACCATTCAAATGTAACACTTGTCCACAGCCTAAACCATCATAAACAGATCTGCTCTGTCAAACCCAAAAGCCTGTGACTGGAACATACCTACAGAAGGGCTGCACTTCATCCTTTCAGGGGGGGTTTCCCCATAAGATAGGAGGGTGAATTCCTTCCACCCCAGCTACACCTTAGATCCCTCCATGGAACACTTTCACTCTGGTTTTCATTCTGAGAATAACATTTTTGTACTGCGTGCTGAATGCTCAATGTTCACAAAATAGAGCAATCAGGCAGAAAAGAAAATGGCCCAATGTGTATTCAAGCAAAACCAAATCAAAATGAGCTTTAATTTTAGGCCTTAGTCGGTGTTGACAGGGTCCCCACATGGACTTCAGCAGCAAGTGTTGTGTTCCTATTTGTTTCAACTTCACTGCAAAAAAAAGTGTTGTTTTTTTTTAAATTGCCAACTTGCCTCATGCGCAACGTTTAAATCATCCTTTTCTCTCATTCTGTCTTCATATGCCAGCAGGAGAGGTGACAAATATTTCATATCCAACTGAAGAAAAAGAGCCAAAGCATTTTAATCTATGGAAATATATTCAAAAGCATGATGTTATAAATATTTTAGATTTCCTTTTCTGTTCCATATTTAACTTTTCATGTGAACAGATTCAAACCTTGGTTTAAGTAAAATGAATGCATGAAGCTTGCAGAAAAAGATAATTTCTTTGCAAGTTCTTAGTTGGTCTAATAAAAGGTATCGTCTCTGAACCAAGTTCTGGAGTTTTGCATTTCTTTCTTGAGCTTCTAATGCAGAATTCTACATGACACACAGGCCAATATAATGCCTAAGGTTGATGATAACTAATTTTATACTGTACATAGAGAAGTAAGGCTTGATTTTTATACTCAACTCTCACTAACTTTATCCACAAGAGATTCCATTGGGAGGTCAGGGTACCCACTAGCTTATCAGATTACCCCAGGCGGATTAAGAAAACTCAGAATATCATTACCTTAAAAGGTACTTGAAAGTGCTCAGTAGTGTACCTCCCAGGAGATGACCCAGTATTTTAGTCAGTACTTTGTAGCCTGTCGGCCAAATTCTAGCTGTCATGAATATACATAAATAAGAAAAGCCATACCTGGGGAGGGAATGGTCATTTGATATATTTTAGTCCTGGCTAATTGAAAGATAGTGGGGTTCAGCTTCCATGGGTTCTTTAGGGTTTTGAGTGTGGAAGAGAAAAAAGGACCAGGAGGTAGGCTACTTTTAAGGCAAATTCACTGAATGAACTTCTATGCACTCACTTGGTTTGAATTATTTCTTTGCTCAGCATGTATGCTCTGTGCAGGTAAATGTGTAGGGGTAGTACAAACTCTCCTTGGCAACTATGCAAAATGCATTTTCAGAAATATTTAAATGAACCATTTGAGAGCAAACTCTGAGGGACAGAACAGGGACCTCCCATTTTTTCTTGTATACAACATGCACATTCCACCCAATAACCAGCTGCTGGAAGCTGCAGTACATGTTACAGGTGAGACATACAGTAAGAACAGTTTCTGTTGCTTGTGGGCAAAAGTGAAATTTAAATCTGCACGACTCTCTGTAAGCAGAACAATGAGCAGGCTCTGCTCCCTAGCTCCTGCTACTAACGTTATAAATAGACATCGTATTTGTCCCACAACCAGTTATGCTGCAACTTCTGCCATAATAGAGAAGTCATGAGATTGGCATGTTGACATTTCCTTTACAGTTGGGTTTAGGACTGTAGGAAAGTAGGGCTGAAAGGGATTTCACAAGGTCATCTAGTCCATCCCCCTGCTCAAGGCAGGAGCACCCCTGACCAAGCCATCCCAGCTAAGTCTAACCCACTTTCGAAAGGATGGAGATTCCACAACTTCTCAAGATAGCCTTTTCAAATGCTTGACTACCCTCATAGTCAGAAAGTTTTAGGTTCTAAAAAAGTTAGGTCTTGAAAATTTAGGTTCTAATCTCCAACCTAAATTTCCACTGCTGCATCTTGAGGCTGTTGATTCTAGTCTTATTCCCTACGACCAAAGAGAAAAACCCATCTCCATCTTCTATAATGGCTGTAACAGGGAGTCAGCGGCTCCAATTACTTGAAGGCAGAAGTAGCAGCAGGGGTAAGCTGGGGGGGGGGGGGGGGGGGGGGGGGGGCAGGGGGAGACCTGCACGTTGTTGAATGGCTGTGGGGATGGCTTGGTCAGGCAGCCCAGGGAACTGCAGGCTGTGAGTGCCTATTGCTGGGCTCAGCAATAGTACAATAGGGCAGAGCCCTGCTTGAGCAGCAGGGACACTGCTAAGGCAGGAAGGGTAGCAGCAGTATATTGTCCTGAAAGCAGCCTGGTTATCAAGTCCAGAATGGAAACCCTATGGCTGGCTGGAGAGCCACCTGACAGGAAAGGGTGGGGCTTTAGAGGCATGTAAAGCCAATGCCTGAGCAGCCTGGCCCTGCAGGTGGCAAAGAGGAACTCCTGAGCAGGATGGTTGACTGCTACCTGAGCTGCCTTGGGAACTGCAGGTAAGAAGCTAATAGTCTGCAGGGATGTATGACCCAGTATAAGGGGAGTTCTAGTTGCAGCCAGTGGCCTTGTATTTTTGTTTAAGCTTTATACCTGTGGACTGGAAGTGACTGCAAGGGGAGGAAAAGGTCACAACAGTGCCCAAGGGGCACAAGTGGCTAAGAGGGCCCAAGCCGGAGCTGTAAGGGCAATAGAGATGGCCTGAAACCAGGGAGGGCTAAGGGCCAGAACCCGAGAGGTGAAACGAGGGCCAAAAGCCCAGAGGAGTAAGATGGAGATGACTTGAAGCCGGGAGGGCTCAGGCCATGACCCAAGAGGGATGAGAACCAGGGCCAGCAGCCCAATGCTCAAAAGGCCAAGAAGCCCAAAAGGGTGAAACCAGAGTCTAGGAGGGTGAGACTAGAATTGGAGCCCAGAAAGCAGGTCCAGAGCCCCAGCTTGAGGAAAGGGGCAGAGGCCAGAAGGCCTGAGGCCCCAGCAAGGGTTGAAAGGCTGAAGGAGGCTTGAGGAGAGTGACTGACTGATAACATCTGTGGTGGTCCAGTAGAGGGTCCTCCTGAGTTAAGCCACCGCCTCACTGTGCCCAACCACCTTCCAGGCTCCAAGTGCCTCCTTGGGGGCACCTCACGTCTGGCCAACCCCCTTCGTGGAGCACACCTGCAAACCTGGGGGTAACGCCGCCACCACCAAGGGTATGGATTGATCTTGGTTGGCCCTGTGCCCCTGGGAAACACAAGCCAAGTAATCCTTGAGGGTACTTGACCCACTGCAAGAACTGGGGGTGCTTCCCTCAGTCTGAAGCACAAATAGTAGTCTCCCTTAGTCAGCCAGACCAAGGGGACCCCAAGACATAATCTAGACCCTCTCCCAATAAGTCTCCCACGCTAGGTACAAAGAACTTTACTGGTTATAAGGAGTAGGTTTGGAATAGGGTACAGGGTACAGCAATATCAGCAAAATCCCTTAGAGCAAATGTATTCATAGATTTCATAGACATTCAGGCTGGAAGGGACCCCAGAGGATCATCGAGTCCAGCCCCCTGCCCAGGGACAGGAAGTCAGCAGGGATCATAGGATCCCAGCAAGATAAGCATCCAAATGCGTCTTGAAGGCGTTTCAAGTGGGTGCTTGAACCACCTCTGGCAGCAGTCTATTCCAAACCTTGGGGGCTCGGACAGTAAAGAAGTTCTTCCTTATGTCCAGCCCGAATTGGTCGTGGTGGGGCTTGTGACTGTTTGATCTTGTCATCCCTTGAGGTGCTCTGGTGAACAGATGTTCCCCCAGATCCTGATGAGCACCCTGATAAACTTATAGGTGGCCACCAGATCGCCCCTGAGCCTGCACTTTTCCAGGCTGAAGAGTCCCATGGCTCTCAGCCTCTCGTCATAAGGTCTGTTTTCCTGACCTCTGATCATGCACATGGCTCTCCTCTGTACTCTCCCAAGCTTCTCCACATCCTTTTTGAATTGTGGAGCCCAAAACTGGACGCAGTACTCCAGCTGTGGCCTCACCAAGGCCGAGTACAACAGGAGAATGATGTCCCGGGATCTGCTTGAGAAGCATCTATGGATGCAAGCCAGCGTTTTGCTCGCTTTACTAGCTGCAGCATCACATTGAAGGCTCATGTTCATCTTGTTATCAATCATGACCCCCAAGTCCCTTTCATCTGTAGTGCTAACCACTACAGATGCTGCAGGTTTTTCCTCCCAAGGTGGAGAACCTTGCATTTTTCAGTGTTGAACACCATCAGGTTCTCGTCCGCCCATTTCATGAGCCTGTCAAGATCTGCCTGGATCACCCTCCTATCCTCAGGTGTGGATGCTTTACCCCAGACTTTGGTGTCATTGGCAAACTTGGCCAGCCCGCTTTTGACACTAATGTCCACATCACTGATGAAGATGTTAAACCGTATAGGCCCTTGGACAGAAGCTTGAGGGACCCCACTGGTGACCACACACCAAGATGATTGGCTTCTGTCAACCACCACCCTCTGGGTCCTGCTGCGGAGCCAATTCCCCAGTCAGTGGATCATGGTGAGGTCAAGGCTGCAGTTAGCCAGTTTTGCCAAGAGGTGATCATGGGATACCAGATCGAAGGCTTTTTTGAACTCAAGATATACGACATCAATCTCTTCCCCTTGTCCAGGTGACAGGTCACCTGGTCATAAAAGGAAATGAGATTGCTCAAGCCGGACCTACCCGCAACAAACCCATGTTGGGTATCCCTCAGGATATTGCCGTCCGCTAGTCTATTTGATAATCTTTTCCAAGACCTTCCTCAGGATAGAGGTCAGGTTGATGGGCCTGTAGTTTGCCAGATCTACTTTCCTCCCTTTCTTGAAGGTAGGCACGACATTGGCCTTCTTCCAACCTTCGGGCACTTCACCAGAGCACCAGGAGTTCTCAAAGATCCGTGCCAGGGGCTGAGCTATGATGCTTGCCAGCTCCTTGAGTACCCTTGGGTGTAAACCGTCAGGGCCGGCTGACTTGAAGGTGTCCAGCCTGTCAAGGTGTTCCTTCACGAAGTCAGCTTCGATGGAGGGCAAAGAATCTCCCTCACCCGGGCCTCCCTGACCCACACTGGGCAGGGCCGTCCCATGGGACTGGTGAAAAACTGACCAGTATCCAGCTCAGGTTACAACTCAGGGTTACCTGAAGCCAACGGAGCCAGGGGTGTCTAACCTCTGTAGTGGCCATGGTAACCAAATTGTCAGATTGGTCCCCCACCTGATAGCAGAGTTTGGGGAGAGAGAGAGATGGCATTCTGCCACAACATTTATGAAGCATGGGTGTAACCGGAGACAGCTGGAGGTCATAAATAGCCCTTAAAGCGACTGACACCCTAGGTACACAGACAGGCCAAGAGGGCCCACTTAGTGCTTGAGAGGCAGGACTGGGACAAGCAGGGTCCAAGAGGGATCTGCTACCCAAAGGACAGACAAGAGCCCAACCTGGGACCCAAGGGCAGCCTCCCTTATTACACATCAACCAATTACATCAAGGCATGG